TTTTTTTTTGTGTGTGTGTGTGTCTCTGTGCGTGTGTGTGTTGTTTGTTTGTTTGTTTGTTTGTTTGTTTGTTTGCTTGTTTGTTTGTTTGTTGTTTGTTTGTTTCTGTTAGCTTGTTTGTTCAAGTGTGTGAGTGGGTCAGTTTTTTCTATGTTGCAGTTCGTGTATAGGCCATGCGGATCTGGAAGTAGGGTTTCGGATCAAGTGTTTCATGCACAGGGCATCATATCATGAGACCGGACAAGCCCAGGTTTGTCTACCTGCTCGCTTTGTCGGTTGTTCTCGATGACTAGAGTCTAGAATGCGCAGCTGGAACACAGGTCTGTAGATGTGTGGGACCCTACCCACTAGAAGTCCCTCGACTTGCAGTTTTGCCTGCTGGCTAAGTGCAAACGCACACCGATGCGACTGAGGTATGACTCCGGAAGCTTAGAGAATTTTTCTTTCGCAGAGATCAACCAGCACGTCCAGGACGGTGACTGTGGACACCATATCGGTACGAAACGGCTCCAGAAGAATCCGTCGAAGTTCGGCGAAGTCCACAGCCCCAGACCTTGAAGCCGTCAACGCTTGCCTTCGCCCTTGAGCCAGGGACTTTGCCTGCGCAGTAAGCCCGATCTTGTCGAGGATGTTACAAGACACACGTCCAACTGAGCAGGAGTCGGAGAGCACGGACGAAACTGGCAGCGACTGCTTCGAGCACGATGTCTACTACCGAGAGGCAGGAGCTGTTTGCTTTTTGCCACGAAATCAACTCGAATCCTCTCTTGATTCCCAATGGCAAAGGTTGCCGATTAGGCTTTCAAGGACGGCCGCGACCGCAAATTTTAGCAATTTGCCCGTAGCTCACTTCCGCTCAAGCAAGCATTACAGGAGGGGTCCGATTGGGTGATGAGGTGTGGTGAAACTTAATTGCAAGCATTCGGAGCAGGAACTTGACCGTGAGGTTCCTGCAGAATGAATTTTTGAACGACGACTCCCCAACACCTCGCCCTATGTGAACCTCCTCACATGATGTTAGAAGCCCGCAGTCTCTCAGAGGTTTAGCAGTCGCGCACTCATGCAGAGACAACTCGGGAGGCCAACCGTGCCATCAGCATGCACGGCACTCACAGGCCGGATTGCCGGATTGCCAAAGAGCTTTCTCTGCTCTTCTGTTCAGGGACTGCCAGCCGCGGAGCAGTGTCTTCTGGTGTAGGTTGAACCTGGTGTTCTGCATCGGCTGCATAACACAAGAGGGCGATGTAACTCGATCGCACGCCACGAGTATGCAGCAGTCAAAGATCACAGAACTTTAGACAATAAAGCATTGAGATCGCTGTACATTCGACTTCTTTCGAGCTTTCGACAGTCCAGTCCCATCCTTGCCGAAGGTAACCTGGCAGCAGCTCGGAGCTTGTAGGAAAGGTGGACATCGCCAACTCTGGGGCAACAAGCTTCGAAGCACACATACACATATAAAGGATGCGGTTGGTGTCCAAGCTCTAGTTTGGACCGGACGCAGGATGAGGTCTTTGGGATGGGACCTGACGTGACGTTAGTGCCTGATGTCAGGTTTGCATGAACAGAAAGTACGAAATCGGCTGTGAGCATTTTTGTGCACGAGATTTCAATGTCCCGTGCATTCTCGCTGGTGGGCAGGACCGTCCAGCACTCTGCGGATGCATGCCAAAAAGCCTGTGCGAAGCCTGGCTGCTACGAGGAAGAGCTTAGAAGCTTTACAGCTGCTCCAGGCCGTGAGTCGCAGTTTAGGATAGTGCAGGTTTGGCTGTCTTCGAGAATTGAGGTGCGTGTGGAGTTAGTGGAGTGACTTGTGTTTTAGCTCTTCACGTGAGAAGGTTAGGTTAGATTAGGAGAGTCAGAGAGCTAGTAGAGTTTTGGTATAAGTGTTGAAGATGGCTGTTGATCCGTTGCAAACCAAACTATCTACAGCATCTGGGCTTGAAGCTGTGAGAATTTTTGTGGTGGCACCTCAGAGACCGCAGAATCTTTGAGGAATAATGCGGAGCATCATCATTGCAGGCACTCTGACGGCAAGGTGTTGCTTTCAGCTGTGACATACAGGTACGAGGTCCCCCTGTCCCACTTATAATGTCGTCAGCTGTACTGTCGCGTAGAGTGTGCACCAACCTCTAACTTGGCAAACGTACAAACTTCAGTTAGCGGCATGCTTGCTAATTCGCAGTTCTCGGATACCGAAAAGCTGAGTGTGCACTCAGGCTTCAAGTTTGTGGGGTTTCGTGATGTTTCGGACACTCCTTCTCTGCGTTCACCATTCACAAGAGCCGCACCCACACCGAAGTCAACGCCCCTCCGCAAGCTTGACTCGGTTTCAGACCCTTGCAAGATGTTCTCTCCCAGAAACCCAACTATCGGTAGCAACTGGAGCATTGTGCCCGGAAGTTCAAGTTCCATTAATTTTAAACCGCTTGTTGCACAAACTGCATCCAGCGCTCTTCCGATTCTCAGGAACCACAACGGTTGTGCGCACTTTTCCTACTGGAGGGATGGAGGTGGGCCACATACACCTGAATTTTCGGGTTGGCTGGTTTGGATGCCGTGCGGGCATCGAGCCCTAGGGTACTGTAGTGTTTAGTTGAGAGGTGAGCGCTTGAGCAACGGATCTATGGGGAAGGAGCTTTCTTGGATTCGACTTCTAGGGTGGGGTATGCAGCCGATTACCTAAAACTGTGTGGAGATATCCAGAAAAGAGAGTAAAGATCTAGGAATCTAGGAGCTGTAAAAAGGCTTAAAGCCCGAAGTATCCTTATTCCTTTGAGCCGGGGCCCCCAGCCCAAATCTGGACCGTTGAAGACGAAGGCTGCCTCCTGACCAGTTCTGGAGCCCACTCCGTCCATCACCACGGCGTGGTTTCGGGATCCGGAAGCTTCCTGGAAGAGACTGCTAACTAACTGCTAGTACTACTATCCATAAGTTTTGGGTTTCTGCATCAGGACACAAGGCACAGGGTTGTTGATGCTCCGGAATGATTTTCGCCGTCAGTCATGTTCGTTCGCATAAGGGCTTGTGAGCCTGGATATCTGAACCCAAGTCGGGCTTGCCACTGCGTTCTGGCAGTGGAAGATGTTTTGCCTTCGCAGATTCATTCCACCACTGCCGCTCGGTCGTTCTCTATCGCTTGAAGATCTCTTGGCGAGCATCCAGTGCATCACATCTGTGCTAGCGCGAATGGGCTTCTGTGCAACCACTTCCCTCGAAATGTTGTTTCAACTTTCATTTACGATTCTGAATATCGTTGCTTCCATCGTTCTTCGTGCTCATGACATCGAATTTGCAATCTGAACGCCGACTTGTAGACCACGTAGCTGTATGTTAATGCATGTTGTTGCATCTCCAAGGCTGCTCGGGTGGCGCCAGTTACGAAGGCCGAAGCGCACTTCCAGAGTTCTCGACACATTGGAAATCTACCGTGTGACCGCAGCCAGTACCGTTGCTGAAAATAGGACCTAATCAAACCAGTCCGCTTTCGGGCCTGGTCTGAGATGCCGGTTTCTGAACTTATGTCGTTCCGATTGTTTTTGGTCCTGAGGATTAGAGTTATCTCTTTGCCTATGTTACGGCAGACACTATCGGAAGCTATTCTTATCATTGTGCAGATATGCTCCATTCATTCAACCCCTGCTTCAGAAAACGTGTTTTTGCGTTGCAGGTTCATGGGGCTGTCGGGGGCTTCTTTCTTGGCAGGAGCCCCTACAGGAGCCTACACGGGCCCTAGCGTCATGACAGTGAAGAACCGTGGCGGCATGCCTCCCCCCAAGGACCGGGGTCAGAGCGCTGTAGGTGGGAAATCTGTAGCTTTAACGAAGGCACTCAAGATCTATCTATGTCAGGGGGCGGCTTCGGTTCTTCAGCTTCTTCGGTCTGGGAGTTGCAACTCGAGATCTACTGGCTTGAATATTTCGTATGCACTTCGGGGGAGGGACGGCAGGGGAAGTCGGAGAAGATTTATGTTCGTAATGTTCAGCTGTTTTGGTTCAAGCTTCAGGGTTTGGCAAGAATCGAGAGTCGTAAAGTTGTGACACTTTCGTGAGAGGCCGACAAAGGACAGAAGGCTCAGGACCAGCTCACCTCCTGCATGAAGCCAGCCAGACTCAGAGAAGGGGTGCCTTATATTGAATATGCAGTCATCTTCCGTATAATTCGCTGCAGAAGCACATCGTGATTGCAAAATTGCAAGATCCCGGCTAGCAGATAAGGGCGCTCTGATTCGTGTAGTCATTCATCTCAGCTGATGTGATGGGTATCCCTATTCCACCTGCTCTGGCGTCGGACCCTGTAGGCCTAGTATTCACAACTCGACACCTGGCAGGGTGTCCAGCAGTACAACGGCATCGCTTGGCCGACTATGAAGCTGGCCTGCTCTTGGAATTCACCTTTGCTGCCTTTTGAGCTTTCTTCTTTTCAGCGGTTTGGGGCTACCTTACTGTCTGTGGTACGAAAGCTGGCATGTCAGGTGGTGCGCTGAGGTGAAATCCACAATCCTTTCTGTTTGTGACCTTGCACTTCCCATTGAGCATCATTGAGCTTAAACTTGCTGCGTTAGCCACGGCTTCCTGCAGTGTTTTGACAGTGATCGTTGGACCTTCCACGGACTGAGAGGTTGAAGTTGTTGAAGGTTGAAGAACTCAGAGTTTACGGGACTCCATGATCTTTCAGCACAGCTCAGGAAGATTGGCGAGCACAAGGCAGTGTACCACATGTTCGCGATTGGTGATTGGGGAGCTCTCATTGGAACCAACCCGGGTCGCATGATCCAGTTGCCTGGCACTGTTCACTCTTCGAACACTTGGGCTGGGACTTTCTGGTGGAGTGGAGTTTACCGACTAGCACTGGCTATCGGCGGCTGAGGAAGACGAACCACAACCTCCAACCAGCACACACACACACACCTAGACACCTGTGCATACCGTATACTTACAGACATACATACATATGTTCATTCACATATTCAGACATTCATACATACATGCGTATTGCTCAAATACGCGCACACACACATATATATATATATACACACACACACATGCATAGGCATACATACACAAACATACACTTACACACGCACACACAAACAGATATTATAATGTGTGTGTATATATATATGTATATATATATATGCATAAATAGGTAGGTAGATATGGATATGTATATGTGTATGTATATGAATGTGCATACTATACAGACATACATACGTACGTACATACCTAAGTACAATCACATACACAGATGCACAGGCACACATACACACACACACACAAAACACATACACACATACATACATACATACATACATACATACATACATACTTATACATGGTTGTATATACATGTAACATGCACATGCATGTTATCATGTACATGCATATGCAAAAAGGCATGCATACGGTGCATACATACATGCCTAGCTACATACCTAAAGACTTACTCGCCTAAACACCTACATACCCAGGAACCTACATGCCTAGACATACATACATACATACACACATACATACATACATACATACATACATACATGCAGCCCCGCATGCGCCGACACAGACACACCAATTACAAGCGCACAAATGCACACCACGCACACACTTACACATGCTCATGCACACACTGGCTTCGGCAGAGCCGGCGCAGCCGTCGTCGTCATCGTCGGGGTGGTGTGGGAAGGAAGAGGGACAGCATGATGAAGATGCGCACTGTGATAGAAAGAACGGTGATAACGGTGATAATGGCGATTATGTTGAAGACGCTGGTGATGACGACGACATTGCAGGGTTGTAATGTTGGTGGTGATGGCAGCAATTGTGACGAGGATGTAGAGAATGATGAAAACGACGGCGACTACGTGAGGGCAGTATCATCATCATCATCATCATCCTCGTCATTATCATGGCAATTATGACCATCATGCATACCATCATTTTCACCGCCACTGCCTCCACCATCATCATCATCATCATCGTCGTCATCGTCATGGCCATCACCATCATCATCATCATCACCATCATCATTTTCATCATCGCCAGTCCATCACGGCCAGTGCCCTCTCATCGCCAGCGCCATCAGCTCCTATGTGGTTGCACGTGATGCGACTGTCCTTAGGGATTAGTGTGTGTTCTGTCCTGCCGGCCTAATGCCAACGATCGCCTTAAGTCGCAAGAGAGCCATGTGTTTTTTCCGTAGCTGACCTTGGTATGAAAAGATCGACATGAAGAGTAGCCGCCCTGATGATCTGCAGCATTGTGTGGGCTCACAAAGCCTGATGCTGATTTTGATGAGCCATCCATGCCCTTGGCAGGATGGTGCTAATGGTGGTGGTTGGCCCGAAAGCCTTTCTTTTTTTGAACTTGTCACCTTCTTTGATCTTGTTTGCTGCTGCATGTCTGCTTGCAAATGCGCACTTTTGGAGACCCAGGTCTCTGTGTAAGACGGTGCGACAGAACTGTGAGGTCCATGCCATGGGGCCTCACCAAGCAACACTCAAGCACGAGGGAAAATCTCTTCAACGCTGAAGGTATCGCAGTGGCCAGACCGGCGGTCCTCACACCATGGCACGCTGGCGTGGGCCCTGCACCACCGACCAGTCACCTGGACAAGGGAGTGAGTTGCTCTACTCTGGGTCACTTTGGAAGGATCCTCGTGGTATTTTGGGCTTGAAGGGTGTTGAGTCGGGTTTGAGTTTGGGCTCAGTCTCCGAAGCGTTCTCGTGGCCCCAAGAGCACGCATGGTAATAGATCTTCACCCAGGATGGCATCCTGCATGGGCGGCGGCCAGTGCCCGTCAGATTGCCACTTCGAGCACGCGCCGCGGCTGCGTGTTTGGGGACTCTCATGTTCGGATACAATCCTTGCGAAAGGACCACACCACCAGCTGCCCTCTTGCGCACCCTGCGCCGGACTGCTCGTGGTACGGGACATAATTCATGGTTGAAGTTGACTTTACATCATTTGCATGCAGATGGAAACAAGCAATATATAATGTAGCCCAAGCACGCGGCTCCGACAATATGTTGATGCTCAAGCCGCGTCAATCCCGAACCCGAGAAGCCGGTATCTCACCTGCGTGGATAGCACCTGCGGCAAGCGGAAAAAGGCTACAGATGACCGCCGTCACAGACACAAGGCTCATGGATTTCTTGCATGCTACCGAATCATTGCAGCAGCAGACACATGCACTAGTCGACCTTCACTCTAGTGACTGTAGTGCACGCCTTCACTGAGTAGCACTGAAACCTTTGAGTGCACTAACACTGCACTCGGAAAGCCTCTCGCCTATCAAGACATGGAAGCTATCCCAGGATGCTGACTACCGTGCGCAGGTGAACGTCGCAAATACGATGAGGAATCTCGGCTGGAGATCTAGGGGCCCTAGGGGCCCTGCAATATTCTGAATGAGGGTTAGGTCTTCATTGAGGTGCATTCAACAGTCCCACGCTAGCCTAAGGAAGTTTGCGAAAGATCGCAATCCAGATCTATTCATCAACGTCGGTGACAACTTCTACTGGGGAGGTTCGTCGGGATGCTGGGGAAAGGTGCAGCATGTGGCACGGCATGCAAGTGCCGCGGACGCTGAAGTCACTGTACTGTATGTTGTAATACATTAACACTCGTGTGTTTGGTGAATTGCGCCCCCGCTGCAGTGCCTTACGTATTTTGGAGTGCATGCGGGAAAACATGCGGCCGCCATAGTCCCGGACTTCAAACCCGTTCGCGGTCTCTACGCGCCGCGGTGCCGTGCATGTTCGTGCTCCTGTCACCATGTTGTGTGCAGTTTGGACTGATGGGGTGGTTTGGCACATCTTGGCACCTCCGGGGTGCTCCGAGAAGGGTTCTGGGTCTTGGGCATTATGTAGCGCTTGTAGTGTTATGCGCCCCGTCTGCTGGCATAATTGTAAACTGCTGCTAAAATCGCAAAGCCCAACTCTCCTGGTAAATGTCGACAGCCTCTCCGGACATTCGGTCAGTCCTGAGCCGAATGAGCTTTCAGATCGGGACTTTGGTGTCAGGCCAGAGCTCTAAACCCCCTTGTGCAGGCATCAACACCTACTGCGGAACGCCGATGCACAAAATCGACCCCGTTACGGCGCACCAGTTCCGAGAGATCTTCGAGATGCTCATATGGCACATAGCAATTGATGCTTTCCCATGTTTTCTAAAACCTAAAGAAACCCAAATGGTAGTGCCGTGAAGGCATGCCACCACCACTTTGAAACACTACGAGTTCCAGCAGTAAGATCTATGCCTTGGGATCAGAACTCCGCACATCTGCCGAATATTAGTACCGTAACCGGTCTCTACACCTCCGTAGAAGAACCGCAACGCTGAATCATGGCTTCGATGGGACATTTTTCCCTATCAAGGCGTCGCGCGCTGCCCTGCTTCGTAATCCAGACCTAGGGCGCCCACAGTCTCTGTAAACTCACTTTCAGTTGCTCGAAGGCAGTAGCCTGGTGACAGGGATGCCAGGATTGTTCTGAAAAGGGGCACCTTCGCTTCGTTGAGAGCCCGTTAGGCCTTAGGCTCTCACAGTGGGTTTGATAGCTCAGACTCGCGGAGGCGTACGAAAGGAAACCACCCGAAGCAAAGATGGTGAGAGGATTATAGAAGAAAGCGAGGTTCCCACGAAGGAACTTCGGCGATTGCTTAGACGGGATTTTTGTCGCGATGTCAGCACTTTCGCCTCGTCATTTGCCAAGCGGACATCCGGACCTGGGCTCTGTTGTTGTACACCAGAATGCCTTCCAGCGTTCCGGTGTCAGTTGTTTTGCAAGCCCATATCCCAGAATATCCAACTCTTTCACTCCCTCCGAAACCGGAGGAATGTTTATCATGGTCCCGGGGTGGATGGAAAGCCCTGGCTCAGCGTCTTGGGGAACCACGACTATGGAGGCAGCTGTGAATTTTGAGTCCTGTTGTGCAGCTCTTCGTAGGTCATATGGTTTTGCGTTTGGAGTTGGTTTCTAACGCTGTGCCCCCAGTGTCTCAGTGCCAGGCTTCCAGTTCAACAAGGCCTGGGACCAGCAGCACCTTGGTTGTTCGCGGATCCAGGGGAGACTGAGGAATTGAGGTGCGCTGGAAGGATTGCGAAATGGGAAAGTCCGCCTGGCTCGGTAGATTTTGCGCTGATTTTTATAGCGCGACAGGTGGAGGGTCGAGGGCTGGTGCTAAAAAAGTTACCACTGGGTTGAATTGAAAGCCTTGCGAGCTGTGAAGTCCGTCGTTCGTTTTATGTTCTTCGGGATAAGTCGCGCTTGTCAACCATCAATTCCTTCAGCATCGTCAGGCCACGGCGTCACTCCAGCTCCCGACATCTTGCAAAACCCCCCTCGGTCCCCCGGAAGCAGTGAACCCGAATAAGACTGGAACCAGCGGCCGCCCCAGCAGCCATCACCAACACAACCGCTGCCATGTCGACGACAAGAACAATGCCAGTAGCCAAGGATCACCTACACCTGGGCCAGCGACCGCTGGGTCATGCCAGGCCAGATCTTGAAAAGCGGATGTGGGGAGTAGTGGGGAGGACTTGGATGGTCTTGCTTTCCTGAAAGGGGGGGGGGGTGGATGTCGTTTTAGGTAGTTTATGTAGCGCCCAACCTGAACGGCTTTGCATCGTGCGGCCAAGCCACGATTGCATCTCTGGTAAGTGACTGATGCTTGGGGAACAAGCCCTGCGACAGTTTGGGCATCGGCCTCCAGAGATTGCCGAACCGTATTACTCCCAGTACTGGTCATGATTATGAGATACATTCCGCTTCCAGTAGAATCTGCTTTCTTGGTACTCCCTTCCCAATTGCCAGGCAACACCCGTGTGCTCTTCTTGTGGCTCCAAAGCCTGCAAGCACCAAACTCGTTGACCCTAGAGACCCTAGAGCGCAATTCGGCGATGATTTTTTCGGAAGATTCTTCATTCGTGTGGGCTGTGCGAGCTTTGCAGAGTTGAGGGTTCAGAGACCAGAGTAAGTGGGAACATTCCGAAAATTGTCCCCACGAGCAGAAGAGACCCACCCCGGTCCGAATTACCCAAACGGAACCTGTGAACGGTGAGGCCAGTACTTCATGCAGCGGGTGGAGTATCCTGAGTTCTCCGAGCCCCGGCACCATGAATGACAGCCCGGATGCCCTAAGATTAAGTGACTAGCTGTCCGGTGACTGAAGCCGAACCTCAACCTGACATCAATCGGCTTTTGCATCTCGTGCCTTCAAGCAAGCACAAGACACAAGCTGCAAAAGGCGCGCATCATGACACCTAAGCCCAGCACCCCCGCCCCCAATTCCCTGAATGATGCCAGCCGAAAGCCGAGCCCCTTGAACACTGATCCATTCGTTCTTCAGCAAACACCATGATTGCAATAACAGCACAAGCAGCGTCAGCCGCTCTTTGACAGGGTACAGAATTGATAGGAGTATCAGTGTGAAACCAAACTAGATGGAAGCATTCACGTGCTGGTAATATTATTCAACAGCGACGAAACTCACAAGCGCGACATTTCTGAATCCTGAGGTTGAGATCTTCATGCTGGACTCCAACGTCATCTGGCATGTTCAGCAAAGCTTTTCTGATGGTTTGCCGGGTATGCTCCAGTGCTGAAGGTCGGTCAGGGCTTTCATGGGATTCTGTTTTTCTGAACCCCAGGGCCCGAAAACCTAAACAAAGTCAGGCCATGGACTCCCATCCGAAGAGCGCTGACCCCAAGCACAACATCTGCGGTGCCATGCACAACCCTCCCGGGGCCAACTGCGCTTCCACAGGACAGGGTACAGGGCAGAAGCTGGTTTGGTACGACGGTACGACAGACTTGGACTGCAGCAATAAAAGAGAAAGGCTATCGTGGTTTGCGTACGTATGAAGAGCAAGAGAGGCCGAGAGACAGAGGGTGACCCAACCTTCGGACCGACATCGGATGTGGAAGGACCAAAACAGACGGGATTTGTGGGGAGATTGGAATATCTAAGTGTGAGACAGTGGGCCCGAAGCGCGATCATGGCCAGGCGGACCGAGGGATCTGGACGCCTGCTATTTGGAATGCTTGAGCACCGCTTGTTTTTGGATACCTCTCCTGGTCTACAAATGATGGAACTCGACCGCCTCATCACTCCCCTGCAAGCCTGCAATGGGTTCCCAAAAAAGCACCAAGGCTTCAAGTTCATGTGGGACACCTGGAGAAGCCACTCAGATCAATTCATCGGGCTCCGGGTTCAGAGGGAAACGGCTCCAGGATCTGGGGAGCTCTGGTCTTGCCGATGTTCGGGTTCGTGACTTGGGACTTAGAGGCCTTTGGTGAGAATACTCTTGAAACCAGAGTCCTATTGTTAGCGAGGAAATGATACTTGAAGTCTTTTCAAGAGTTTCGCTTCGAGCATCAAGCGGCTACGCAGATTGAGGATCTGGGACTTCGGGTTCAGTCTCCGGCGGAAGAGATGAAGAATACTTCGGGTATTCTGGTAGTTGAGCTTTCCTTGGCCATGGCCCATCGATGCGAAGGTCAGGAGAAGTGGACGGAGAAGAAGCTGGAGGAGTGGCAGTAACAGTTACTAGTATGGTAATGGCTGTTGTTATGATGGATATTGTTGTTATTCTTATGATTGTTATCAGCACCAGTGTTATTCGTAGTAGCCCGGAGGGCCACTCCACGCTGGTGTGCTACTGCCCGCGGTATCTATGATCACAGGCAGAAAGGAGAATGCTACTTGATAGAAATCTACGGTTTTAGCAGCCTCCTCAGTTACAATGCCTGACGTGTTGGAGGACGAAGATTTAGTGCATGGTCATGCCTCTTTCAGTTAAGCCTACAAGTCCTGATGGTGAGTGATCACAAAGTTTAAAGCTTGAACCATGCTAAATGCCCTGTCCCAACAAACAGGAGTCTACAGCTGACTGGCAGCTTATCGCCACGCACTTCCAGTGTGGACACCAGGCATGTCTGCAGGCTTAGAGGTTAATGTCGGGGTGTGCGACGTTTGGTAGTGTGCTGATGTGCGTGTGCTAGCAGGGACACCGTCGTGGGAGGTGCAACTGTATCAATATTCCAACCTAACAGGCTGAACTTCTCAACCACAGCTACAAAAAGTGAACAGGCAGACATGACACGATGCCTCGGTTGTGGGTGACAAAATGCAAAAGGTGGTCACCTCCCCAGCCTGAAACTCCCACCGAGGCGAGGAACCTGAAGGAACCCTTTTAGGACTACAGAAGGACATCCCAACAGCAATTTCTGAGGCTTGGAACACCGAGCACCATGAGCAGCAGATCAACTCAGATATTCAGATGGAAGCTCTGCCTCTTTGCCAGGCGAATTGGTACAAGAAGCTCCACCAAAATCTTGGCCTGGACCTCTTGGTGACCGGACACACCCATGTGCACCTTGGGCCCGGTCGGGTTTGGGACATTTCCCGAACGACATTGCAAATGATTTGTGCTCTGACATTATGAGGTAGATAAGGCTCAGAAGCTTCACGGCATGACGGCTGCACATACAAGCCTTGCTGAGAACCTGTATGCTTCAGAGCAGCAGCGACGCAGCTCAAAGCAGCTCGAAGCCTCGCAACCACACCCGTAAAGCTCCAGATTGCTGCCTAGTGGCCAAGCGGCAGAAGAGGACAGGCTGCATGTCAAGGTGCCATTCTTCCGCGATTTCATTCCATGAGCATGCTGTCTTCACGTTGGCGATAATTGGAGCACGATTGCCCTCACAGCCCCAAGTTTGCCTGTACATGAAGGTTCAGGGTTGTGTCCACTGCGCCTCCTGATCGGGAAAGAGATTCAAAAAACAACCCCAAAGCTGACAATACCAAGCCCGAAGCATTAATCCTAGAGGGTGCACCGGCGAAAAATGCAGCTTAGGGTGATCTGCAAGAGTGAGCACGCTAAGGCTCCTGTAGGGCTGCTGGAGTGCCGGGCATCTGAGTCAAGGGCCTTTCAGTTACTGAATTTTGAGGCAGAATATCTTCCACAAGTGGCACGTCCTGGGTGGTCTCACCTGCTTCATTACTGGCGGCGGCGGAGGCCGCGCTAACTAGATGTGCCACGCTTGAATTGCGAGCACGCGTAGAGCCCCCCTCCCCCGCTCCCCTCCCTCCTCCCCTCCCCTCTCCCTCCCCTCCCTCCCTCCCGTCCTTCCTGCCCCTCCCTTCCTGCTCCGTCCCTTTCTGCTTCCTCCCTCCAGACAGAATGTCATTGACGAATACGTCACGTCTTCAGTGCACTGAGTGTGCATTGGCTGCATACGTATTTTTGCCAACTTGCATTTTCCGGTTAGTGTCGGAGAAATGAACCTTCAACTCCTGGAGGCATTACCGCGGAGGTCTCGCCCAAGCATAGCCACACCACGGCCTATGGATTTTTCGACTTGGCCTTCACCAAGGAGCTTCTAGCTCTCATTAACTCCAGTGGCTCTGAGTTCTGAGGTTGCAGGCAGTTTGACTGTCTGCTGGTTTTCGTGTTGCCCGGAGCCTCAAGTCCCAGGGGCATACGGCTCGAACGGCAGTAGTGGTTGCGATGGTAGCTGCGGACAGGACGAAATCAAGCTCGAGTCGATCAATTTCCGCGGAAACAAGATAGGCTCTGCTACGGTGACTCCAGTTGCGAAGAACCTGTGAGCCTCACAGCGCGGGCCACGGCGCCGGTGAGACTCGAGAGTATAGAAGTTTCTTGCTTCAGTGCACTCAGTGGTCTTACAGGTCAATACATGCAATACAATCAAGATCCGTCAACCGGCATTGTAGCTGTTGGACACTTCGTAACTGTAAGAAAAGGCACGAACACAAGATGAGTATTGTATTCAAGCGTCAAGTCAAGGACCGCCAGTAGTAGGCGAAGAGTGGCAAAGCCATTCTAGCGAAATTCATTCATATTACGTAGGTGTTGGAGACTCTGCATGCCGCGAGCCTCATCAAAACAGCATTTCAAACACAAGAGCCTGTGGTACTGTGGTTCAACAAATGCCAAACGAACTCCAATGCAGTGCCCGCCAGGTAAAGACTACAAGTACAAGTAGCACTTTGTTGCCGAAGTTCGCAGAAGACTTAGCAAAAAATCATAGCGCCGTTTTGCTTAACGGCGCTCCTCTATACCTCATCCCCCCAAGCCCCACCCCACTCCGGGCCCCCATGGTTTTGATGTCCAGTCCCTCTAAAGGCTTTCGTTCCAAAGGTAGCCAGATTTGGAAGCTTATGCGATCGGGTGCCCAAGGTCTGCACCCCATCCATGACCGGTTTGTCGAAGAGAGTGTCAATTTCGAAGCTCACCTAATATAATAGTTCAATGGCAAGTCGAAAATCGGGATTTTGCACATCTGACAGCTCAGCCCGCGGGTGCTGCTAACAGGAAGCAGGTAGACCCGTTCATGACATGGGAGGCAGCGGAGGCTGCGTCAACCCGAAGACTGAAAGTAAGCATGAAGCATCAAGCAGCCAGGCTTCCCTGTGCAAAAATTGAGATCCCAAGGATTCATGCCAACGTACTTCGATTATCAGGATTTAAGTTCGAGCTCGTCAAAGCCACTCTTAGCAAGGACAAAACCTGATATACCCGGCTTCCGTGAGCATATAGGGCCTCAAACTGAAGACTTGTTAGTGCCGGGGCGCCGACGCAGGCTGTCCATGGCCGCACCTAGGAGCACTAGGGACTAGGGAAAGCTGAGCTTCTCCGAGAGCGGATGGCGTATGGCCTTTCGGAGTAGCACTCCCTGCGCAGTGGCGCCGCGCTGGTAAGGCTTTCACCGTTTAGATCCTAGGTTCTATGGATGGAGAGGCAGCGGAAACTTTGGGATTCTTCGAGGCAAACTACGTGGTCGAGTGGCTTACACCGGGTGTACAGACAAATTAAAACAGCGGGTTGGGATAATTGTACATTGCGTGCTTGCATGTAGGTCTGTTGTCATGCCCGCATGTATGTATGCTAACGTATGCAGCATGTAACTACAGTTGATCGAAGAACTCCAGGGGATAAATGATTCAGGTTCCAGCTAGCAGAAATTCGCACTGTAACCAGCGCTGTCGGCGCGTTGAATGTCTGCATCGTGAAAGACCGCACGAAAGCACAGAAAACACATTCAGTCGGTTTTCGGGTGGTTTCGGTTTCAGATTCAGATAGCGCCAAAAAGGATCATACAGGTCCAGTTGGGAGGTGTGTGAAGGATGGCTCCGATGGAGAAGTCTTGGCATTCTGAACGTTTTTTCTGGTGCTGGCCTTTGCCGCGGCGTGTGCCATAGAGTAAGTACCACATCAAAACGTATCAGCACACGAGCCGGAGCATACCGGTCTGACCTACCACAAAAAGTGCTAAAACGCCTGGTTTTCATGTAGGCATCTAAGGTTTACTTTGACATAGCAGTTTAGTGAAAGCCTTTGCACATGCTTCAGGGTGCAGTCTCCGCTTGGAGCGGCACGCTAGTCGCGTGCCTTTTGAAAGACGGATCCTGTTGATTGCATGCAGGACTTCCACGAGGCCTTATTAATTAATGCTACACTGTCTACAGGAATGCTGAACGGGAGCCTTGCCACACCACACGATCCATTTTGTCTGTCCAACCTGATGTCGCCATGCAGGTAGAATGTCCTTGAATGACTGGTTTGGTCCTCATGCCGTGTGCTTAGCTCTTCGGGGCGCCGTGCTGTCACCACTCTTCTGCTTCATTGCTTTGAGGCTTGCAGCATTTAACCTCAGGGGTTTGGATTTCGAGTTCTGAGATACATGATACAAGCATCTTCGACGCACACAGACTGTCAAAATGGTTTCTCATTGAAGCCTGCATACCTTTCCCAAAGGTGCAGCTCTTGGAATCTGGGTAATGGCCCTGGGTGGCCTTGCTTCTATCTCTATGCCCTATATGCCTTTGTTGCATACATTTCTTGCATCATGTACCGTGATTTTTAGCTTCGAAGAAGGAGCGGGCTTGACTCACTTGTTTCGCCTGTCCAGCTTCATGTTGCCTTGATACTTCTTGCGCACACTGAAAGATGCAGCGCACTACTCGGTGGATTTTGGTGTCTTGAACCTTTGGGCATTCCGGGTGTATTAACAGTGGCTGCCTAGTTGGACAGATGTTCAAGGATCCCATCGCCGATGCTTGGGCGTATGTCTCCAATCAGCTCGTCCCCGGTGTTCGTTCTGGCGCGTTCTGGCTTGAGACCCGTCGAAAGGTAATCGATCTGACGCAGAATGTCTTTGCTTGCCCTGATTCACAGGCCATGCTTGCACTCAAAAGGTCCAGCCTGAGTGCAGCACTAAACCCGGAGTATAGTTTGCTGTCGTCCTGCCGACCACGTCTTACCCACTGGGCGGGTTGCTCAGTCGAAAAATACTAGAGGAAAATACTCTAGAATTATTCGGTGGGGCGTTGCAATCTTGCCCGATGCCTCGAATCTTCAATGGCAACGCTATGAGCCTCGGAATCGGAAACCTAACCCTTGGCTATAAACTGCAGCGCCTCAAAAGTGTCAAAAGTCTGAATGGCGTAAGCCACAAACCTACATGCCAGAAACTACACCTAAGTTCAGCAAATACAAAGCCTAAACCCCACCGCCTAACTCCGATAACCCTTCAACGCAAGCGCCACATGGAAAAACCTGCGAGACATCCTGAACAAATACGACAATTCAAATCCCGAGGTCGGCCCGATGGCCGCCGTGGCGACGTATCGGAGTGCCCCGTTGAGGGCTGAGACCTGGGGCGGTTGCGGTGCGTTTCGGATGATGTCCTCGTGGCTGTGTGGTTTGCATGTTCTCTCTTTTGACGAGGGTAAGCAAGAACTATGCAGTGAATGCTGTGTGTTTAGTTGTTTCAGGATGGAGGGATGCGGGATGTGGCTTTCAGGATTAGTGATTACATGTTTGTGAGGGGTGGCAAAGGTGTCGAAGGTTTTTGGAGACTTGGTTGGAATTCGGTAGGCATTCTGGTGTGTGAGGCGTTTTCGGACTCGGGATGCAAAGCTTAGGACGTTTGCAGGTAAGAGTTTTTTGCGTGCGTTGAATGATGGGTTTTGTGGTGTCTTTTGCCACAGATGCTCCTGCTTCCACTGCTGCTCCAGATACTGCTGCTACTACCACTACGACTACTACTACTGCCACCACTAC